ACCATTCTTTCCGAGTCAAACGTTGAAACGTAAAAAAAGAAGTTATTTCTCTTTTTATTTGACTCGGAAATAATGATTTTTTCTCACATATACTTATTTTAATGTTAAAAGCCTTTTAAAACGAATATCGAAAGGATCCAAGTTGGGGAAAGCCTGTGATATAGATTTTTTGGTAACAGCAGTATTTGAACTAAATTATAATTTCCACGCCACGAAAGCAATTTTTTCTCATTTGTTAATTATTTGGAAGTTAATGGAAAGCAGGTAGGCAGATTGCTGCCATAATAATTCCTTAAATCATTCACGCGCGCGTAGGATTTTGCTAGTAATTTGAATAAGTTAATTATATCCTGAGAATATCCTCTACATATCCCGATTATATCCTGAGGATATCACACGGATGGCCTGGGGATATCCGAAAAATATCCTACATATTTTGTTACAAATACTTGAGTATTTAATAAAATATAAGTGTATGCACAGCAAATAAACGTGTCAAAAGAGCATTAGACTGCGCATGCACTATTTCACTGGAAAATATTGTGTCACTCACATGAAATCTTTGTCCCGACACAGTATTTTGAGGTTTGAACAGAATAATTCACCGAGGGCCCACTGAATTTCTTGATGAGCTCTTGACACTTTTTTAGTCTGCTAGACTGTACACAGTATTTTGCTGTTGAATCTTCTTTCCGTCTAGTAGTCGGACAACAGTCAGACATTTTGGATTTATAAAGTAAAAAAGATAATTTTTTAATTGCATTTAGCTGTGAAATTGAATTAATGATTATTAGAAGTTAATACTATAATATTTATATCCTATAAGTTTTAATATTTCTGATTAATTATCATCAAAACTTTGCGCTTCTCGTTGCGCTGCTCGAAAATGATTGCATCTATATAGTCAGACACAATGATTTTTAAGATAATGGTTAAAATATTTCTTATTTGATTGTAATGTTAAATAACATTATTTTCATAAAATATAAACTTCACACATATTGAGGTTTAGGTGGACCGAGTAAAAAACATTGTACTACACAAGATTGATATTTATTATAAAGGACAAGATAATTAAGAAAAGAGTTATACAAAAAACTACGATAGCATCGCGTCGTGTTCACTTGAACATTGATAAAACATATAGAAGAACACTCGACAATATAGGTGGCGCACCAATCTGCATTACAAAGGAAATTGTCCTGAATCGTAAAATAACCGCGAATTGTAAAATAATAGTTATTCAACACTCCCCCTTGATTTAGGGACACTGTACACTAAGCAGTTAATTTCACAATTCCGAGATAATTGAGACATTTCGTGTGTTTGGGTTTTGGTAATCCTTTAGTGAGTACGTCGACTGCCATTTCTTCTGTTAAAAGATACTCGATCACGATTTTTCCTTTTTCTAGGGTTTCTCGAATATAATGATGACGTACATCGATATGCTTCGTCCTATTATGGAATATTGGATTTTCTGCAATCTTTCGAGCGCTGTTGTTATCGCAATGAATTTTGATCTTTTTATTTACAGTGAATCCCAATTCACCCAAAAATCTCCTTACGTACGTAACCTCCTTTGTAGCTTCCGATAGAGCCATGTACTCGGCTTCCGTAGATGAGAGAGCCACAGTCTTTTGCTTCCTTGATTCCCAAGAAATAGCACACGAGCCGAGCAAGAAAGTAAATCCTGTGTAGGATTTCCTATCATTAGGACAATTCGCCCAGTCTGCATCCACGAGTCCTTCCAGATCTTTTCCTGATTTTTGGAACCATAATCCCGTCTCTTGTGTTCCCTGCAAATATCTGAGAAAACGCTTTGCTGCTACCCAATGACATACATGTGTTTCACTGATCACACTTTTCACTGATCACACTTTTCACTATTCCTATGCTTTTACTTTATTTCCGGCCTGGGCCCATAACCTATTGAGGTTTAGGTGGACCGAGTAAAAAACATTGTACTACACAAGATTAATATTTATTATAAAGGACAAGATAATTAAGAAAAGAGTTACACAAAAAACTACGATAGCATCGCGTCGTGTTCACTTGAACATTGATAAAACATATAGAAAGAACACTCGACAATATAGGTGGCGCACCAATCTGCATTACAAAGGAAATTGTCCTGAATCGTAAAATAACCGCGAATTGTAAAATAATAGTTATTCAACAACACATTTGTCCAGTATATTATTTAAAGTAATTATCACAATGCATTATTATTTCATTGACAAAAAACACAAAAGTTTCCGACTATACTTGCACTTACCCTATTTCTGCCGGCTTGAATTTTTATAATATAACTTCAGATTTACATTCAGCAACTCCTAAAACTCCTGGGTATCAAAATTCATACAAATCCAACTATTAAAAAAATTCGTACACTGCACTGTTTAAATTCCCAAGATTTTAATTTGATTATAGAGAGTATAAATTTTGATTAACAGGTATTATGCAAAAGAGTTTCATATGTTGCAATATTACAAATAATATTTTATTTGTTTATACACCCGTCTTAAGCTTATCTAGCTATACTAGTGTTTACATACAATTCTCTTACAATATTTTCTATATTAGGCATTTTACGTGAAATGTCCTAAGTTGAAATTTCAACTTCTTGAAAAAATTGAAACTTGGGGAATTAGTTGTTCTATCAAGTAGAAATGTGATACTTGTAATGGGAAAAATTTTTTAGAATATGTTTCTGAAAGGTTTTTTCATCCTCTTTCCAATGGTGAATTTTATTTTTTTAATATTTTAAAAATTTACGCTAATTTTTTGAAATTATTATTTAATTTTCAATTTCTAAAAAATCGGTCCGTTTTATTTAAAAATAAATTATTGCAAACTAAAGCTGAGGTTTTTTCCTAAGGGCATGTAAATTTTCAGAATGCCCTTTTTTAGTTTTTAAGTTATTAAATTTCAAAGAATAAATTGCTGCGTCGCGGGCGCCTCGCCTCACGCCGGGTGCCACGCGGCTCAGAGCCACCGCGTCCCAGCGAGCTGCAATTTATTCTTTGAAATTTAATAACTCAAAAAAAGGGCATTCTGAAAATTTACATGCCCATAGGAAAAAACCTCAGCTTTCGTTTGCAATAATTTATTTTCAAATAAAACGGACCGATTTTTGGGAAATTAAAAATTAAATATTAACCCATTAAGTCCCATGAAGAAAGCAGACATTGTTTTAAAAAACTAACAATTAGTTTCAAACACTGAGAGACCTTTGGGTCAGCAGCAGACTTTCGATAGGCTGCTACTGACCATTTTGGTGGTACGCTACAGGACTATACTTTTGGGTTGCTGCGGTACAATTTTGGGCGCGTGACAGTCCAAAAGTTGATTAGCTGCAAACCAATGACGGCATCCCCACTACTTTGGTGAGCTTCTCACCAACATTTTGGACTGTCACGCGCCCAAAATTGTATCGCAGCGCACTAAAACCATAGTGGAGCTGCTATCTCATACGTTGTTCCGCTGCAGTCCAAAAGGTCTCTCAGTGTAGGCAAATAGAAAAAAAGATATACCTGTTTTTTTGTTTCTAATTTCCAATAGTTTAACAACAATTCTTTAAACAAATTAATAAAAAATTTTAAAGTATTTGAAAATTGTTAACGCTAATCGATTTTACGTGGAGAAATAAAAATGATTTGTATGGGTCATTTTTTACTCCAAGTCGTATTTTGTTTATAAAATTGTTATAAACAAATTATGCTGGATAAAGAGTGTTTCATCCTAAGCAACAGTTATCCAAAATTTTAAATTTTTATTGACTTGTTTAAACAATTGTTGTTAAACAATTGGAAATTAAAAACAAAAAGACAGGTATATCTTTTTTTCCATTTGCCTCTGAATCCAAATGTTAGCTTTACTTAAAATCCATTTATTGATGCTTAGGATGAAACACCCTTTATCCAGCATAATTTGTTTATAACAATTTTATAAACAAAATACGACTTGTAGAGAAAAATGACCTATACAAAACATTCTTATTTATCCACGTAGAATTGATTGGCGTTAATAGTTTTTAAAATGTCTTAAATTATTATTAATTTGTTTAAACAATTGTTAATAAGCAATTGGAAATTAGAAACAAAAAAACAGGTATATCTTTTTTTCCATTTGCCTATGAATCCAATTGTTAGTTTTACTCAAAATCCATTTGTTTATTCTTAGGATGAAACACTCTTTACCCAGCTTAATTTGTTTATGACAATTTTATAAACAAAATATGACTTGTAGAAAAAAATGACCTATACAAAACATTCTTATTTATCCACGTAGAATTGATTGGCGTTAACAGTTTTTAAAAAGTCTTAAATTATTATTAATTTGTTTAAACAATTGTTAATAAGCAATTGGAAATTAGAAACAAAAAAACAGGTATATCTTTTTTTCCATTTGCCTATGAATCCAATTGTTAGTTTTACTCAAAATCCATTTGTTTATTCTTAGGATGAAACACTCTTTACCCAGCATAATTTGTTTATTACAATTGTTATAAACAAAATACGACTTGTAGAAAAAATGACCTTTACAAAACATTCTTATTTTTCCACGTAGAATCGATTGGTTTTAAATTGGTTTGAATTGGTTGAAAAAAATTTTGAAATTTTATTAATTTGTTTAAACAATTGTTGTTAAACAATTGAAAATTAAAAACAAAAAACAGAACAACAAATTCCCCGAGTTTCAATTTTTTTCAAGAAGTTGAAATTTCAACTTCTGATGGTGTGTACTGGACAATAATAATCGACAGTGCATATCATTATACCTCGACGTCAAACATCCCCCTTGATATATTATGAAAGTAGTGAGAAAACACCGGGCTATTGCGAGAGTCGAAGCGCGGTCACCAAGTACTAACTCTGTACTCAGGTCTGCTTAACCTCGACGATCGCAAGCCACGGAGTCTCACCACCGAAATATACCATCGGTTATTACAAATAATATTGACTCTAAATAATAAAAATAATATATAAAATTTTTTACAGATGTATCAATCCACGAAGAATTTGTTAATCATCACCTACATTCAGAGGGATCTTTAGAGAGAATAATTTTAGGACTTGTAAATCAACCATCTCAAAGAAGAGATGAATTCATCAGTGAAGAGCTTACAAATCATCTTTTTCAAAGGGAGTCGTTTCCTTTTGGAATGGACCTGGCTGCTATAAATATTCAAAGAGGACGAGATCATGGCTTGCCACCCTACTTTCAGTACCGATCAATTTGTGGTTTGTCCGAAATAAACAACTGGGAGGATCTTGAAAGAGTAATAGAAAAATCCACAGTTCAAAAGTTCAAGTTGCTATATTCATCAGTAGAGGATATTGATCTTTTTTCTGCTGGATTAGCAGAAAAATCACTCAACGGAGGACTTGTTGGTCCTACATTTGCCTGTATAATAGCTCAACAGTTTAGCAATCTGAAGAATGGCGACAGATTCTGGTTCGAAAACTCAAATGTAGAGAATAAGTTCACTCCAGAGCAACTTACCCAAATAAGAAGTACAACATTAACACAAGTTCTTTGTCAGACCATAGAAAACATTGAAAGTATTCAACCCTTCGTAATGCTGCTACCGGATAATTTTAAAAATCAACGAATGTCCTGTCATAGTTCGAAAATTGGAAATATAAATGTTAACGCATGGCTGGAATTAACTCCAGGAAGAATAAACAAAGCTCAAGTGAAAGAGAACTTTCAATGGTCCAGAGAGTCAATTTCAAAACCACAAATTAAAAGTACGAGTGAGCAGAAAGTAAGGCAGTTTATGAAACCTTTGCAAAGCAGCATCAATCAACAAAATAGAATAGTTTTGAAAAGGCCGATTGCGCCTCAAAAAAATATATCCATAATTGTCCAAAATACAGCAGTAAACGCTCCAGTATTTGTGAAAGATTCGGTTTACGAACCTCATATAATTCAAGAACCTGATTCATTGTTTCAGTTATTAGGAAAGAAACCAAATTCATTATTGGACCCTTCAAATATTTATTTTTATCCAAATAAAAAGACTTTCTTACTTAGACACTACAAAACCTATATTCCCTAATTCAATTCCATATTATATTCATAGCAATGGTTTCTATGACAGCATGTACTTTACTAACCATATACCATATAATTAAAACTAAAGTTTAATCAGAATTATCAAGAATATTAATTTTTAAAGTCAAAACTATAAGGAAAGGCTCACAAATTAATTTTAATGTGAAAGCTTTGTTACGGAGTAACAAATGGTAATTTTCATATTTTTTATTATTAATTTATTTGTGACTAAAACTTTTTAAATCTAAAATAAGAACTAGACACCTTTTTTTAAATGAAGAGTTTTCAAACCAGGTAACCTACGAAAAGTAAAATTTATGTTTTTACTATGATTGCAAAACAAACATCTTGAGGTATTAACTTCATGGTATTTAATGGGTTAAATATTGAAATTAACATTTATTTAGTATTTGTTAATTAAGGTTGTTTAAATAATCGATTATTGAATTGTTATATTTTTGTTCTACTACTTTTAAATGTAAATTGGTAATATTAAAATGATGTTGTGTAAGAAATGATTACTTCCTTTTAAAAATTAACAATACCTATAAGATATTTGTTTATTAAAATTGTTTAAATAATTTAAAAGTCTTATTTTATTGTATTAACCTTAGAATGGAATCTATTGATAGATTTTATTAGTCAGCTGCATAAGAAATTAAAAATTACCTATTAGATTAACAATTCTACAATATATTTGTTTATTAAAAATGATTAATCAATTGCTAAATTGATTAACAAATATTGTTTAACAATATCTTAATTTCATGTATCATAAAATATTTTTTTGTTTTAGAAATATATAACTTTTAAACTATAAAATATAGCAACTTTTAAACAATTTTTTAAATTTTTAAAGTTTTTATAACAAATATAAAACAATTTGTTTTATTTGCCCAGGTGGATGTTACTTCGATAATTTTATATTAATTTATTTCTTTAAGGTACACTGAGAGAAGACCGAGACGTAATAGTTCCCGCTAGACGTCGCTATGAGCTACTCTGCTTGTCGTGTTTGAGTTGTTCCGAATCGGGTGCTGAGACTCCCCGATCCAGTCAAACATTGTTCTCGCATGTGAGAAAACAACTGGTGGCAAACACTGAAAGTTCTGTGTAATCTCGCTTCAGGACGTTCCACGTTTCGCATCGGGGCTTGAGACATCCCGATTCGAGGGTTCACATAAAAACATTCAAAAGTACAACTCAAGGCTCGCACGGGACGTATTAGTTCCCGGACTTCTCTCAGTGTACTACTACACTTTGGAAGGCTCTTAAAAGACCAAATTTAAAAAAAAAATTTCTTAGGTCTTTTATTATAAATATTTAAAAAACTTTTTTGCCTATATTAGTACATATTTGGAGAATAAAAATAATGGTTTGTTTTTAATTTTTATTTAATATCATAATCTGCAGACAGCAATCAGATCGAAACTCCAAAAAGTTAGTTGTCCAATTGCGGACAGTTTATCTCAAGATTGACAAATCGGAAACAAAAAATCCAAATTGCTTTTTAAAAAGGAAGGTGTTTTGCATATAAATCTACCACCATTAATAAAAAATGGACTAAAATAAAAAAATAGCAGATGTTTAAATAATTTTTGTCAAAATACACTATGTTTTTCAGTTTTTCTAGTCTGCAAAAATGTTTTTTTTTTAATTTTTTGACCATTTTCTGGTAAATTCTCAAACAGGACATGCTAACAAACAAAACGAGTTATTATTTATTAAAATCGGTTCAGTAGATTGAGAGATAAACTGTCCGCAATTTGAGAAAGCGTTATTTTGAGAAAAACGCGTTTAAACTTATATGTACCTATCGTTAGAGGCCATCCATAAATTATGTTGAAAACAATGATAATATATATTTTACCCAAAAGTCCCTAATACAATTAAATATCTAACTTTTATATCTTTAAAAGAATAAAATGATAGTGTGTGTAAAGCAGAGTAGATATATATGTGTGAATGAAGAGTGTAATGTGTGTAAACTGTAATGTAGAAATATAATACTCACTACTCGGTAATTCCGTCTATTCGTCACTTTAATCCAATTTCTGTTTCTTTAACCTTTATAAATATTTTCGTATACAAACTTTTCTCGAAGATTCAGGAAATACCAATTCTAAGTTCACTAGATTGATATTTCACTATGAACTTTAATATTCCTTCTAATTGCACAAACCCCGAAAAATAAAGGTTGTCTTTACATTATAATCAAATTAATATTCTTTTATTCTTTTATTTTGTATTTCTTTCTTTTTCGCTGACTTTATATTATTTTCACTTTAACCCTTTAACGCCCAGTGGTTTCGATCGAAACCACTTTCGATTTCTAAATTCTATAACTTTGACAAAAAAAAGATATTTTTGATTTCTAAACGCCCGCGACCCACAGATTTATTTTCCTTTATAAAAAAAATTTAGATTTTAATAAATAATTAACAATTTTGTAATTACAACATCAATTAAATAATATATTTGTTACAAAATTTATAACAACATTACAAATTCGAAAATAAAAGGAAGCAAAACTACTGAAAATTACTACTCGAGGGTTTTCGGGGTCGCTGATTACAAATTTGATGCCAGATTTCAAAATGGCAGATCCAATATGGCGGACATATTTTCTAAAAATTGATTCAATTTGCCTGAAAATTGTTACTCAGGGGTCTTTCTACATTCGTAATAATCAAAAAAACAAATGCCTAACGCAAAGACGAAATCAATCTAAAATACTTGACTACATTTATTTATGACAATCGGAAAAACAAATGCCTAACGCGAAAACGATGTCAAAATTAAATGTTAGTTTACATTCCTGGCTATAGAAAAACAATTGCCTAATATAGAAACTAACATCGGATTCGTAATTAGAAAAGATAGACGCCATATTGGATCCGCCATTTTGAAATCTGACATCAAATTCGTAATCAGCGACCCCGAAAACCTTTATATACGAGCAATGTACGATTTTTGAAAAATGGATCTGCCATATTGGATCCGCCATTTTGTATTTTGCAAAATTGACTTCAGATTCGTAATCAGCGACCCAAATAACCCCTAAATAGTAAATTTCTCAAAGATTGACAATTATTTATATTTTTCGGCCATATTGGATCCGCCATTTTGAATTTTGCAAAAATTGACTTTAGATTCGTAATCAGCGACCTCAAAAACCCCTGACTACCAACTTTCAAGCAAAAAAGTACGATTTTTGAAAAGTAGGTCCGCCATATTGGATCCGCTATTTTGTATATTGCAAAACTGACTTCAGATTCGTAATTAGCGACCCAAGTAACCCCTAAATAGTAAGTTTCGCAAAGATTGACAAAAATTTACATTTTTTCGGCCATATTGAATCCGCCATTTTGAAATTTCGCAAATGTCAATAAGGGTAAATAAAGCACGAATAAAGAGGTATGTTTTGTGCCAAAAATAAACTATTTTTACTATGAAATTAATATTTTTTTAGCAAAAAGTAGATTTTTTATTCTCCTCGACTGCTTTAACGCGACGTACAAGTCCACTATCTTGAATTTTAAAAAAAGGCCACAATGCAAATAAATGTAGAGATTTCAAGCTTTAATTTAAGCCATATTTTGATTTTTTTCGTTGAAATGAAAAATGGACAGATAGGGGGTAAAATTTGACAAAGAATGACCCATTTTTTCAAAATTCTTTATATTTATTTTCATTAACTTTATTATCAATATTTTCTTTTCAATTCTTTTACTTTTTCATTTATGTCACTTTTATTAATTTTATATTCCAGTATAACTTTTAAATTCAACCTTTTTTACTTTCAATTATTTTATTTATTTATTCGAACATAAACGGGTTTCAAATAAACCCTTTCGTACAAAAGTACTTAACTGTAATCATACAGCAAAAAGAAAAAAACCTTAATAACTATGTTAAGGTAAGTTATGAAAACGCTAGGCTAGATCATAGTGATAATAATAATGGTACAACAATTGTCGCAATGCCGTTTACAAATCTATTCAAAGAAGTGTCAAAGAACTCAACTGAATCGCTTACAGTGTTTGCTTCCCTACTCAACCTTACCATCATTGAATTGTTTACATAGTTTTGAGTTTGTTTTGTGACCCTTATATTAACATATTCGTCGTCGATTTGTCGTCCGTCGTTCGTGTACTTCCGTACATCGTTCGGTCGTTCAACTTTTATCATTTATTATCATTTATTCATAGTATCGTATATGCATATACTCATTGTACATACATATACGCATGCGCAGTAGTGTTCTATCAGTATCACGCATGCGCAGTAGTGTCCTACCAATATCAAGCATGCGCAGTAGTGTTCTGTCAATATTACACATGCGCAGTAGTGTTCTACCAATGTCAGGCATGCGCTGTAGTGTTCTATCACTATAACGCATACACAGTAGTGTTCTATCACTATAACGCATGCGCAGTAGTGGTCTATCACTATAACGCATACGCAGTAGTGTTCTATCATTATTACGCATGAGCAGTAGTGTTCTATTACTATAACGCATGCGCAGTAGTGTTCTATCACTATAAAGCATGCGAAGAACATTTAGAACTTCAAAATTAAATTTTTTAATCCATGCACAATCTAAAAATTATTTTTCTACAATACAAAATTTCCAAAGCCCAACTCTATTTCTTTATAAGATTCTTTTAAAAAATCATTATTGTCAATGTTTTACAAAAATTTAAATAACTTCTAAAAACATTAACACTTTTAATGATTTTAAGCTTACTTTAAAGGTTATTTTCTACAGAATATGAATTACTTGTAGACATTAACGTGTAATTTTTTCTTAGAACTTGCAGGTCGGCAAAGTTATACACAAAAATTTCAATTTGAAATAATTTTTTTGTACAAAAAACTATCCTTCAAAAAATATAAAACATGATATGATGTAGATTTTTCAAGAACATTTAGTAAAAAAATATGTTTGAGTTTTAAAAATTATTTTTCTGTTAACCCGTTGCCTGTTAACGACCGTTGGGTAGTAAACTTCTTAGAGCAAAATAAATGCAATTTCTTATGTAAATTATAAAATAAATTGTTTTATATCATTATTAACACACTATTGATTGCAGTGATCCTAAATTAAGTAATAAATAAATAATCATTTCTTATTTTTAAATAATATAACAATTTAAAAACAAGTAAAATTTATGAAAATTTATTTTTAATTTAAGTCACATTCAGTGTATAAGGGTTTTTGAAGTCGGTGAATTTAATTAATTTCAAAAAATTCAAAATTTTTATCATTTTTGAAATTTATTTGGATTTTTATCAATTCCAGTACCTAAGGGTTTTTCAGGTCGCTGAATTCCAGTTTGACCATCATTTTTAAAACTTCAAAATGCAGGATCTAAATTGTCAGACATACTTTTTGAAAATTTTTAAAATTCATTTGGATTTTTATGAATTTCAGTATCTAGGGATATTTTGGGTCCCTGAATTTAAATTTGTCTTTCAAAATAAAAAATTATGAATTCAAAATGAGGGACG